GAATTATATATATATACACATATGTGTGTGTGTATAATCTGTGTGTTGATGCTGTAACTAAAATTCCTTTACTCTCAGTTCTGACACTGACCCTCTGAGGTAGGTTCTGCTATTATTCTTCCTTTATGAGGGAAATGAACCCCAGAAAAATTAAGTGACCCACCGAAGGTCACAAAATTAGCAAACATTATTAGAGTGAGGATTTGAACACAGAGAATCTGCTTCCAGAATCAAAACCTGTTCCTTTATCTTTTCTTTGCAGGGATGGGTGGTATCTCACTCTGTTGCCCAGGCTCATCTCTAACTCTTGAATCTTAAGAGACGGGGACTGCAGACACACCTAGCTGTACCCGGATGCCATTTGCTTTATATATTTGCTGTTCAGAGCAAAGATGACAAGTGAGGACAGGTTACAAGACAGAGAAAATAGACACCGATCCCATCACTTATTTGTAAACACCGACTGCACGGCGGCTTTTGCTGCAAACCTCAACCCTTGTCAAAGAAGCTCCCAGTTTGGGGTGTAAGCAACTGTGGGGTGCTCAGCACTAAATCACACCCCCTCCCCACCGAGGCTCAGGGAACATCACGGAAGAGTGGTCAGAGGGAAAGACCGTAGGTTGGGAGACCCTGATACCAAAGGATATCTCCTGGGCGTGACAAGGCCATTGCACTCATGACCTCACAGGAGCTGTGGTTGCCAGCACAGACATGCACAGGGTCAAGCCAGTCAGCACTACAACATGGAAAGGGCGGGGCCTCATAGACCCTGTCCATAGTTGCAGGGCTACTGGCCGATAATGACTGCTGGGGTAGGGAGAGTTACTTCTGGAGTTGGTAGTGATAGAGTTCCCTGGTGGAAGGCACCTACCCTCGTGCGCATATTGGCAGCAATAATTAGACCCAGTGGGACAAGAAGAGGAGGAGGAGGAGAAGTTGGGAGGGAGGTGGGTGGGGTGACCCTGGAGGAGCTAGACAGTGGGGAACAGGGAGTGGATATGGTCTAAATACGTTGTATTCAAATATGAGGTTACTAAAGAGTAAATAAAAGTTACAAAAAATTTTAAAGGGCACTTAAACGGCAGCTTATTGTATGTAATCATCTAACAGCCCTATGAAGTAGAAGCTACTAGTGCTGCCATTTCAAGTATAAAGAAAATAAAGCTTAAAAATATAAAATATTCCCCAAGGTCACATGAGAGGTGAATAGTGAAGCCGGGCTTCAGTTCTGGCCATCCGGCACTTTTATTTAACCATGACACTCCCCTGACTCCCTGACCTGTGGGTAAGTACAGTGATGCTATTATTATTAACAAACCATGTGTCTATTTATTCAGACTGCACTGAGAGGACACTGACCACGGACACTCTAATCTATTAGAGATGGTGACGCACAGCCACAGAGGCTAAAGAAATCCTAGAAAGCTACGAGGAAGTGCAATCTAGTCACTGCAAAAGCAAATGGCAGGCAAATGTGTGAAGCAAACTAACGTTTCCTCGGGGGTTTCCAAACTCCTTTTCCGACCTCTTTCTCTCATCTTTAAGTTTCCCCTCAGTGCCATTGGGAAGGAAGATGTCCTCTTCAAATGATTATGACTCGATTAAGAACTCAAAATAGGTTAATATAGAAATATCAGTGTGAACGTCTCAGAATGCTAATACTGTCGGTAGAAAGTTCAAAGGCGCGATGCTTCAGTGAAATATGAATTTCTAACATTCCAATGTGTACTCAAGGACAAGAACTCTTTGCCACCCAGAGCAAAACTGTGGAGAAACTGGGACTTTGAGTGAATTTTTGGTTTAAAACATTAAAATATATGGAGAGTATTTTAGAATTCAGGCAACTTAATATTAATAAATACTAGAAATAGAGTTTAATTCATGGACTTTTTGTTGACAGAGTCCAGGGATGTGAAGGTTCAAGTAACTCCTAGGAGGGCAAGTTCAACTTTAACTGAAAGGAACATCAACACAGATAGCAAACACAGACCAAATAATCCACATATGCTGTTAAATGCTCCTTAGAGGCCCCTTAGATATCCATGATCAAACTATTTTTTTAATGAGTGAAATGCTTTTTAAAAAATAGTTTGGGGTAGGGAAGATAAATTCCTTTCTTTGACTCCACACATTTTTATTCTGTTCCATTAGGCTGCTCCTCTGAAGCAGAGGAAGAGAGCTGTGGTAATATTTTGTTTGTACTCTAAAATACAAACAGATTCCTGAAAATCAGAGGAGCCAGCCACCAGATTAAATATAGAGGCCAGGCAGTGGTGGCACACACCTTTACTCCTAGCTCTTGGGAGTTCAAAGCCACCCTGGACTACATGAGATTAACCCAGTCTAAAAGAGAAACAGAGGCAGACAGTAATGGCTCACACCAGTACTTGGGAGTCACACGCCAATAATCCCAGCACTAGGAAGGTTGAGACAGGAAGTGATATGGCTGAGCAAAGAAAGGAATATAAGGCAGGAGGAACAAGAGTTTGGTGGCCCTTTCAGCTGAGGACTCAAAGGCATCCAGTCTGAGGATTCATGGAGACAGGGTCTCACCTCCCTTTCAGCCTTAGAATTCAGTAGTGGTGAGAAGTTTCTCTAGTGGCTTGTTCCTTTGTCTCTCTGATCTTTCAGCATTTACCCCAATATCTGGCTCCAGGTTTTTATTATAAGACCAATTAGGATTCGTGCAACAGAGAGCACCTCTTGCAAGGCCACAGAACCCACCCTGACCATGGAAACTCTGAAAGGCTGCAGATTGAAAAGGAAGCAATCTGCCCCCCAAACTGTGCCTGTAATTAACACACAGCATCACAGCGCTGAAATGAGAGTCCTTCCGAATGGCCATTGGCTACCCTAGGCTGTGTTGATCTCAGGGTTACCTCTGTTATGTTTTAAATATGGAATGTTCCACATAGACTCACTTTTTGACCCCCAGCTGATGGTATTATCTGGGGAGGTTCTGGAAACTTTAGGAGATGGGGCCTCACTAGAGGAAGCAGATCAATGGAAGTGTGACTTTGAAGGTTATAGCTGGCCACCAATCCTTCCTCCTCAACTTTCTATCCAGTACGAGATGAAGAATATCTTCTGCCACACATTCAGTGATACTATGATGTTCTGCCAGAGCACATAGGGGCCATGTGCTCTGAAACTGAACCTCTGTAAAACCGTGAGCCAAAACAAACCTTTCTTCCATTGTTTATGTCAGACACCCCATCAACACCCACAGCTAAGAAGATGACAATTCACACTTGTGCTCAGCTCACTTCCTCCTTTTTTATCCATTCCAACTTCCCATCTCAGGAAATGGTTGCTGCCCACAGTGGATGGATCTTCCCACATCAATCAACTCAATCAAGATAATCCTGGCCAGGCATGCCCAAAGGCCTCTCTTCCGGATGATTCTAGATTTAGTCAAGTTGGCAATTGAGATGAACCATCACATTACAAGGTCCCCAACAGGCTGGGGTGGGGGTTGTATATCAAAACAATGTCATTGGGATGGGAGTGTAGCTCCACAGTAGAACACTGCCTAACGTGAGTGAGGCCCTGCGTTCAATCTTCAGCACGTCAATAACATTAATAATGAAGAGGAGGAGGAGGCGGCGGCATTGTTCAGGATTTACCAGGAGAAGGAAATACACATTGATTTTCAAGTTCTCCGTGTGTGCATTTAAGGAAGTGGTCACAGAGCTTTAGAGGGAGAGTTGTAAGAGGGTATCACAAATGGAAACCTGGCAGCAGGGATGCTTTTAGCATGATTTTACACAGAGAATTCCAAACACACTTAACTATGAAGGTGATGAATCTCCACATCCATTTGCAACTGACACCAGTCTCTACATTAGGACATTGGAAAAAAAATTCAGCAAATTTAGCCCAAATAGGAGTTGAAAGAAGACAAGAAAGATAAATGCAAATACAAAACAAAGCAAACAGAGAGAGAGAGAGATTATATTGTTGTGGGATATCCACCTGTGACTACTCAGACACAGATTGAAGCCAATAGAAAGTCTTTACCAGCCAGTTGACAACTACACTATGTGTTCGGGGTCCTGGTGAAGCCCCAAGCCTCTCTCAGAGTGAGCTTTTAAGCACAAAAAACATATCCTGGGTTGAGACACCTCAGTTAATAAGAACAGTTATCCACAAGTGGAACAATAAAAGCAGAAAGCGCCGGGTGGTGGTGGAGCACGCCTTTAATCCCAGCACTCGGGAGGCAGAGGCAGGTAGATCTCTGAGTTCAAGGCCAGCCTGGGCTACAGAGTGAGTTCCAGGAGAGGCGCAAAGCTACACAGAGAAACCCTGTCTCGAAAAAACAAAAACAAAAACAAAACAAACAAACAAAAGGCAGAAAAGCAAGGTTGTATGTACATTTAGAGACTTTCCTAAAGATATGGATTTTCATGGATTAAGTCTTTGGTTTTGTTTTGGCAGGTGGTGCTGTGTGCTGAGCTTTATGGTCTGAATGGTACTTTTACCATGGAGTCAGTTGTGCTGAAGTCTGGGGACCTACTAAGGTCTGGGGGGCTGTTACAATATCAATCTGAAATTGTTTCTTCAAATATTGATAACCTGTAGTATATTGTGCAAGCAGAGATTAAATTTTTGGTGATATCAACAACCTTCTAGAAAATATGTATCTTGCCAAAATGGACATAATGACAGAAATTTCTAAAAACATCTTAAATGGGCAGTGAGAATTAAAAAAATAATAAGAAATAATAATGCTCTTAAAAAATTTTGTAATTTAAGGCCTTTGTACAAAAAGAAACTTAAATACAGATAAATTCTATGAGATATTTTTAGAAATAATAAGGCTAATTTCACAACTCTTCTAGGAAATAGAAAGCAGGGGCCAAGCTTTCACCTGTTAATGTGACTTTGACACTAAAGCCTGGTGACTATACTTGGAGAAAGCAAAATTAATTATACACCAATCACATCCCTCAGTGTACATGCAAAATTCCCAAACAAAATATTCACAGGCTAAGCAGAGAAAAACATAAAATAATTTAATTTCACAACCAAGTTGAGTTTATTCCAAAATTAAATGGTAAAACAATCAGTGTGATACAGAAAAGGATTTTTTCCTGGTTATACAGCCACTTCGATTGACACATAGAAATACATGTAATAGGTTTCTATTGCAAGAAATCCATGGAGTCTATTTAATGGGCCAAGGAATTGATTAGGGGGTAAGACTCACTACAGCATGGGAGATTTATCATAGGATCTGGGAAAGCCAAGCTATGTCCCACACTGATCTTCTGCCTGGTCCAAGATCTGCCCGGTCCATCCAGCATCCAAACCACGAGGGACTGAAGAGAGCTGTGCATCCCAGGCCTTAAGGGTCCCGAGCAGCCACACCCCAGGGGCATGTACAGGTCATAGGCAGGTGTAGCAGTTACTTGCTGCCTCTCTAGGGGCGGTGCTTCAAGGTCATAGCTAGAACAGCTACCCACTACAGGTTTCAACACTGATGGTGACAATGGTGTTGATATATAGATGAAGATGGGAGCTTCTAGAAGTCCTGTGAGCAGAAACAGCCAGGAGTTACAGAGAGGAGATGAGGTAATTAAATTGGTAATGGTATCTTAACAAAGGGAAGGTGAAAATACCACCAGGAAGCAAGTGCCTGGAGAGAATCTATGATATGTCAATCATCCTAGGAGCCTAATGAAGAGAAAGGACCAAAGACTAGCAATAAGGAGCATGTCTCCAGTATCTGAAGTAGCTAGAGGGGCCTGGGAACAGATGAAGTGCTTGTTGTGCAAGCATAAGGACCTGAGTTTCAGTTCCCAGGACCCACATAAAAACCCAGGGACCACAGTACAAGCCTGTAGTCCCAGGTCTGGAGAGTCAGGGACCAGTGGGTCACTGGAAGCTCACTGGCCAGACAGTTTAGCTGAATCCCTGAGCGCACAGTTCAGTGAAAGACTCTCTCTCTCTCTCTCTCTCTCTCTCTCTCTCTCTCTCTCTCTCTCTCTCTCTCTCGTTTTTGTTTTTGTTTTTTGTTTTTTGAGACAGGGTTTTTCTATGTAGTTTTTAGTGCCTGTCCTGGATCTCACTCTGTAGACCAGGCTGGCCTTGAACTCACAGAGATCCTCATGGCTCTGCCTCCCGAGTGCTGGGATTAAAGGCGAGAAAGACTTTCTCAAAGGTAAGGTGGAGATGACCAAGGAGGACACCAACTTCAGCCTCTCACTTCCACGGGTACACACACAATGTGAGGCCACACACACAAACATGTATATATACACTCGTGTACACACATGCTCACATACACCATACAGGCAGCTTGCAGAGGGACCTGCAGTGATGAGACTTTGAAGTGTGGGAAGCCATTAGCAAAGGTTGAGGGAAGGACACAGATCTGTACTTCAGAAAAGATCTCTGCGACAATGAGGAGAGTCTGTGGATGGGTGGAGACTAGATAGCAGGTCAACGTGATGCTGTGGACAAGAAATAAAGGCTAGGGGACTTGGAGGGTAAATATGGGAGATGAGAGCTGGGGGTTCAAGGATAATATATGAATTTCTGGTGTGAACATCTAGATAATAGTGATTTTATCAGAATAACGATGGGTAAGGAGGGTTGGGGGGATAATGAAACTAAAGATACATAATCTTGGGGATGGAGAGACAGTCAGTCAGTAAAGTACTGACTGTAAAAGCCTAAGGACACGAGTCTGACCCCAGAACGTGAGTAAAACAGGCAGGTGCGGTGGGGCATGCTTGTGTTCCCAGTGCTGGGGAGGCAGAGACCCAGTGTCTCAGCCAGTGTTCTATTGCTGTGAAGAGACACTATGGCCAAGGCAACTCTTAGAAAACTAAGTATTTAATTTCTTTTATAAGAAATTGGAGGTTTGCTTACAGTTTCAGAGGTTTAGTCCATTATCCTTGTGGTGAGGATCCTGATGGCCTACAAACAGACATGGTACTGAAGAAATGGCTGAGAGTTCTACATCCTGATCTGTAAGACACAGAGACAGAGAGACTGGGCCTGGCATGGCCTTTTGAAACCTTAAAGCCCACCCCCAGTAACACACTTCCTCCCACAAGGCCACACCTTGTACTCTTCTAGTCCTTTTCAAATAGTCCAACTCCCTGATGACTAAGCATTCATATATATGAGCCTGTGGGGGGTCATTCTTATTCAAACCACCATACATGTGTATCCCTGGAGCTCGCCGGCTCTCTGGCCTCACCTCATTGATGAATTCCAGGCCAGTGAGACATCCTGTCTCAACAAGCAAGGTGGACAGCACCTGAGGAATAACACCTGAGGATGACATCACACACACACACACACTGAAAAGAGCTATAATGTTACTACTTGTAATCTAAAATATGCATACTAGGCATTGCTTCCCCACGTTTAACAAGTCTGCTATATGTATCTAATGATACACTGATGGTGGGATATAATCAATGCAATTATGGAAGACGACTTGAAAGTCTGTAAACACAAAGATGACACTTCAGGTGCCTCACCTGAAGAGATGTGTATATATGTGCTAAAAGGCAGCTTGCAGAAGGATGTTCACTGAATGTTACTGATGATGAAAAAAAAAAAACAAGCAAAATGTTAAATAACCATAATATATTCATATAGTGGAATACTCTACATAAATTAAAATAGATTAATTATATATGTATATATTAAGATATGTGACTCTCAAAAACACAATTTCAAGTGATTAAAGCAAGATGCAAAAGATATATACAGAAAATTCACAACTGTGTGCTTTGGAAATGAAAGGTATGGCTGTTTGCATCCTGTTTGTGGCGCATACAGATGTCCAAAAGGACAAACACACACACAGAAACAATACACACCGACCTGAGATGATCATCACCCTTCCATGAGAAGACGGAGGGTGAGAGAGAAAGTAGGAGGAATGGAGCTTCATCTCTTCTGTATTCGTATCTGCACAGCAAAATCTAAATTTTAAAGAGGAAGAAGTAGAGGAAGCATTCATTTGACAAGCTATAAAAAGAACACCTCTCATTTTAAAGCCGGTTTTCTGAGTTATCATTTACATACCACAAGATTCAGCCTTTTCTACATATACAGTTTGATGAGTGTTAGCAAACAAGTACAGTTGTGTAACCACTAGTATAGTGGAAAAGCACATCCAGACGGCCCTCACGTCCCTCTGTGGCCAATCGCTCTTCCTTATCACTAGCGCCCCTCTACGGTCACCTGTCCTGTAGTTTCCAATCCCAGTGAAACATCTCCACAATGCCACCTAAATGGACTAATGGTATGTAGCCTATTGTTCTTACATATTACTTAGCACAATGCTTCTGAGACTCATTGACATATTTATATGTTGTCCTAGACAGGGTTCTATTGCTGCGATGAAACACTATGACCAAAAAACAAGTTGGGAGGTGTGGTAGTTTGAGTGTAATTGACCCCCATAAGCTCATAGGGAATGGCACTATTAGTAAGTATGGCCTTGTTGGAGGAAGTATGTCACCGTGAAGTGGGCTTTGTGGGCTCCTATGCTCAAGCTATGCCTAGTTCAGTTCACTTCTGTTGCCTGCAGGTCAAAATATAGTACTCTCAGCTCCTTCTCCAGTACTATGTCTGCCTGCACACCACCATTTCCTGCCATGATGATAATGGACTAAACCTCTGAAACTGTAAGCCAACCCCAATTAAATGATAAGAGTTGCTATGGTCATGTGCCTCTTCACAGCAATAGAAACCCTAAGACAGGAGGAAAGGGATTATTTGGCTTATATTTCCATATTGTAGTCTGTTGTTTGTTGTCTTTTACTCTTTTGGGGGGCCTGCTACCCAGCTCCCAAATAAATCACACGCACAGGCTTATTCTTAATTATGAATGCTCAGCCTTAGCTTGGCTTGTTTCTTGTCAGCTTTCTTTAAATTATCCCATCTGGCCGGGCGGTGGTGGTGCACGCCTTTAATCCTAGCACTCGGGAGGCAGAGCCAGGCGGATCTCTGTGAGTTCGAGGCCAGCCTGGTCTCCAAAGCGAGTTCCAGGAAAGGCGCAAAGCTACACAGAGAAACCCTGCCTCGAAAAAAAAAAAATTATCCCATCTACCTTTTGCCTCTGGGCTTTTCCTTTTCTCTTATTTCTGTAAATCCATCTCTTACTCCATGGCTTGCTGTGTAGCTGGGTGGCCGCCCCCAGAGTCCTCCTCCTCCTCTAGCTGCCACTTCTTTTTTTTCCCCAGATTTCTCCTGTATATTCTCTCTGCCTGCCAGACCTGCCTATCCTTTCTTCTGCCTCGCTATTGGCCATTCAGCTCTTTTATTAGACTACCAGGTGTTTTAAACAGGCACAGTAACACAGCTTTACAGAGTTAAACAAACGCAACATAAACAAAAGTAACATACCTTAAAATAATATTCTACAGCAGTAGTCTGTCTTGAAGGAAGCCAAGACAGGAACTCAAGCAGGGCAGGAACCTTAATGCAGGAGCTGATGCAGAGGCCATGGACGGGTGCTGCTTACTGGCTTGTTCCCATGGCTTACTCAGCCTGTTTCTTATAGAACCCAGGACCATGTGCCCAGGGGTGGCACCACCCACAATAGGCTGGGCCCTTCCCCATCAATCACTAATTAAGAAAATGCCCTACAGATTTGCCTACAGACAGATATTATGGAAGCATTTTCTTAATTGAGACTCCCTCCTCCGATGACTTTAACTTGTGTCAAGTAGACATAAAACTATCCAGCACACAAGTATTCACAATTTATTCTCTTTTGTTACTTAGTAGAATTCCATTGTATAGAGGCACCACAATGCTCTTATCTATTTACACACTGATGGACTTTGAGTTGTGTCTTAGTCTGGGCTCTATAAATAAAACTTCTGTAGAGGGATATGGAGGTTTAAGTCTGTAGTTCCAACACCTAGAGACTGAGGTAGGATAACTTTTAAGTTCAAGATCAGCAGTCACACAATCACAATACATGCAGAACAGGCCTTTGTCAAAGTTCAATATCTTTTCATAATAAAAGCCCTGAAGAAAGTAGCAAGAGAAAAAGCATACCTCAACATAAAAAAAGACTATGTATGACAAGTGTATGCCAACATTATACTAAATGGAAGAACAACTCAAAACATTCCCTCTAAAATCAGGAACCGGACAAGAGTGTCCACTCTGATCACTCTTAATACAGTGTTCTGGGTCTTAACTAGAGAAGTAAGTCAAAAAAAATAATAAAATATCTACAAATAGGAAAGGAAATCAAACAATCCCTATTTGCACTACCCTATATTGGAATAGAGTCTTCAAATATGTGGTTAAATTAAGGGTCTTGAGATAAAAAGATTATCTAGGACTAGCCAGGTGGGTCATAAATGTAATCATGTATCTCTTTTAAGATTAGTGGGAGCCAGCTGGTGGTGGTGCAAGCCTTTAATCCCAGCACTCGGGAGGCAAAGGCAGGTAGAGATCTATGAGTTCCAGGTCAGCCTGGTCTACAAAGCGAGTCCCAAGAAAGCCAGAGCTACAGAGAAACCCTGTCTGGAAAAAAATCGGTGGGAAATCTGTCACACACAGAGGAAAAGGCAAAAAGAGTAGGGAGAAAAGTAATATTTGAAGATGCTGGCCTTAGAGATTGAAATGATACGGCCACAAACCAATGAGTGCCCCTGACCACTGGGTCTTAGAAGAGTCAAAGAACTGATTCTCCCCAAAAGGAGCGTTTGCTTCCCCAGAAGGAGCATAGCCCGGTCAATATCCTGATTTTAGTCCAATAAACTGAATTTCAACCTCTGCCTTCCAGAAATGTGATGAATAAACTCGTTGTGGTAAACCACTGTGTGTGGTATCTTATTACCGCAGCATCAAGAAAGTAACGTGAGCCCCCATGAATTCTACTTAGTGACAGTCATGGTGTCCACCTATAACCCTCTACATGTTGTGCTATGGGTTGGATATGGCTTGGGAATATCATCCAAGGATCCATGGGTTGAAGCTTAACCCTCACTGTGAGGTATGAAGAAGATAGAAAATTAATCCAACATGGCATTTAGAGAGGGGCCCTTTGGAAAGTAATTAGTATTAAGTAAGCCATGGGGTGGAGCCCTCGTGAATGAGTGCTGGTGGTTTCATTTAAGAGAGAGACCAGGGAAGATACATACATGTTCCCTGTTTCTTGCCGTGTGTGGCTCTGTACCACCTTAAGATTCTGCGAGCCAGAGGACTATCACCAGGAGACAGCTCAGCTATTGAAGCACTTGCGAGCCAGACACCTGAATCTCCAGAACCCGCACAAAAGCAGGTGCAGGAGCGCATACCTGCAACACCTGAGTACCACCACTGGGCGGCCAGAGCAGAGAAGGGGCACTCCCTGGCCCTCTGGGAGACCAGAGAAGGAGCACTCCCCGAAGCTCCCAGGCCCGCTGGGAGAGCAGAGAAGGAGTACTGCCGGAGGCCCCCAGGCCAGCTGGGAAGCAGAGAAGGAGCACTCCCGGAAGCTCTCAGACCCGCTGGGAGACCAGAGAAGGAGCACTGCCGGAGGCCCCCAGGAGCAGAGAAGGAGCACTCCCGGAGGCTACCAGGCCAGCTAGCCTGCTGTACTCAGCGGTGAACGAGAGTGACCCTGTCCCAGACAAGGTGCCAAGCTAGGACCAACACCTGAGGGTGTTCCCTGACCTTCAGACATGCATGCATATGCCCACACTCACACACATGAATGTGCACGCCAACATCGTACACATACCCCAGAAAAGAAAGCTATTGCCTAATGTGGGCCCCCTCCAGAACAGAACCAGGAACCAAAATAAACCTCTTTCCAACATACCAAATCTGTGGCATTGGTTATTAACAGAAAAAGAACTAATACACCTTGCTGCGCTGTTTTTTTGTTTGTTTTTGTTTGTTTTTGACGTGTGTAAGTATTTTCTTTTCTTTTGAGAAATCCTGGGAAATGACCACAAAAGTACAGTACATCCAAAAAAAAAAAAAAAAGGGACTAATTTTCAACAACCTGAAAATTTCAAATTCTAGAATTGCTTGTTTTGAAACTAATTTCCAAACAAGATAGGATAAAGAAAGAAAGGAAGGAAGAATTTAAGAAATCGTGGATGTTCGTGACAATGCTAAAACAGCTTGCTCTTGTCAGGACACTTCAGGACAAGGTAGGTAAGATGTGTTTCACTAAAGCTTTTTGTTTGTTTGTTTGCCTTGTTAACTGCAATAACACAATGAAAGCAACAACAGCCACCTTAAAAGCGAAGGAGCTACTGGGAAAGGAGTTCTCAGATGTCGGCCCTCACTGCAGGAGTGGCGGGTGCAGTGCTGGGCTGGGCTGCCTGGCCCTGGTGCTCCATCTCATAGCCTGTGGGGTCGTGGGTCACACTTGTCTGGGAGGCCCACTGCCTTGGGAGAGCAGCCACCGAGCCTCTGGTGGGTACAGGCTGCACTAAGAAGAATGGCTTCTGTGCTTCTTTGCGTGTTTCTTTCTGGTCTTGGCTTTGGCCAGGTTCCTCGCTGTCCTCTTATTGTTCATGGTCTTGCTCTTTATTGGAGGGCCATGAGTTCTTAACTGTGTTAACCAGCAATCTGTTATTGGTACCAGCAAGAGGAGACTTCTTCATCCAGCCCATCGGTCCAGTTGTCCCTGCTCTGGATTTCCCAAGCTTTGCCTCCTTTAGCAAGTCTTCTAAAGGCTTTCCTCTCCAGCTCCTGATCCTCTTCCATGGAATGGGGGCAGGCGAGGTTCTTCTACATATAAGAAAAGATGCAGGGCAAAGCAGGAAGAAAACACCAATCGCCTTGCTGTCTCTCTCTCTTTTTTTTTTTTTTTTTCTGGAGCTGAGGACCGAACCCAGGGCCTTGCACTTGCTAGGCAAGCGTTCTACCACTGAGCTAAATCCCCAACCCTTGCTGTGTCTTAAGAAAGATTTTTTTTTTCCAGACATGATAGAGCATGCCTTTAATCCCAGCACTCAGGAGGCAGAGGCGGGTGGGTCTCTGTAATCTACAGAGTGAGTTCCATGTAAGCCAGGTCTACATTGGGAGACTTTGTCTTTAAAAGTAAGTAAGCAAATAAATAAATAAATAAAGGTAGGAAGGAAAAAAGGGTGGAAGGAAGGACAGAAGGAAGGAAGATTTGTTGTGATTTATAAATGTTCACAAAACATATGAATAACATAAATCAGCAGAGATGGCTCAACAGTTGTGAACACACTACTCTTGGAGAGGACTCAAATTCAGTTCCCATCTCCCATGTCCGGTGGCTCACAACCACCTATAACTTCATTCCCAGGTTTTATGACATCCTCTGCTGGCCTCCACTGTTACCTGCCCTCATGTGAACATAGCTACACAGGCTATGCAAAGATTCCAAGGAGTGAGCCATCCCAAAGACAAGGGGAACAGTGCAGTATATTCTGCATTGTAATTTTGTTTTTGTTGTTTGTTTGTTTTTTGAGACAGGGTTTCTCTGTGTAGCTTTGGAGCCTGTCCTGGAACTTGCTCTGTAGACCAGGCTGGCCTCGAACTCACAGAGATCTGTCTGCCTCTGCCTCCCAAGTGCTGGGATTAAAGGCCTGCGCCATCGCCATCCGGCTTCTGCAGGATCCTCTAGAAAAGCTTACGAATGGAGGCCAAAGCCACAATGAAAACGATACTATAGTGAAGTTATGGTCTTTGGAGCATGCAGACCCTTCACTAGTACACAGATGGGCAAATACACCAGTGCCTTAGTTTTTGATACGGTGTGAACAACCTATATGCAGCTCCAAGGACAGTTGGTTATAAAGGGCACTCTGACTGTCAACAGACACAGATAAAACTGCAGTATTCTTGGTCCACATATCTGATTTCCTTTTGAGATTGCCCAAGGTCCCATGACTGATCTCATAACTAGCCACTGGTTAAGACATTTTTCTTGCCCCACAATTAAGGCAGCTTGCTTTTTTTTTTTTTTTTTTTTTTTTTTTTTTGGTTTTTCGAGACAGGGTTTCTCTGTGTAGCTTTGCGCCTTTCCTGGAACTCACTTGGTAGCCCAGGCTGGCCTCGAACTCACAGAGATTTTTTTTTTTTTTTTTTTACATCGAGACTTTATCATAAATGTTGGAGGCAGATGTGACAGTTGTATCGCTTGGTCTACTTGTGGGACTCCTAGCAGTGGGAGCGGGGCCTGTCCCTGATGCTTAGGCAGGCTTATGGGAACCTATTCCTCATACAAGGTTGCTTTACGAAGCCTTAATACGAGAGCTTAATCCTACCTCAGCTTGATATGCCATGCTTTGTTGACACCCATGGAAGGTCTGCCCCTTCCTGAACAGAAGCAGAGGAGGAGTGGATGGAGGTGGGGGCAGAGGGGAGGTGTGGGGGAGGCGATGGGAGGGGAGTAGGGAGGGGAAAATGCGGTCAGGATGCAAAATAAATGAATAAATTTAATTAATAAAAAATATTTTAAAGAAAAAAAAAAGGTTGGGAGCAGAGTTTTACAAGAGCTTGTCCAACTGTACAAAGAGAAGCAGAACTTGGGCTGTCTTCCAAGACACAATTCTCTCGGTGCGGCTGTTCCTACCTTCCACCCAACAGCTCCATCACTGCCCCCGGAAGAGAGAAGCACAGTTCCAAAGATAACCCCTGGACTAACAGAAAGGAATTTTCCTAAGAGGGTCAGAAAGACTCCGACCCAGCATCAACTAGTATCTTTGGGGCGCACAGGGCATAAGCTCGATGAAAAGAAAACGAGGAGAAAGGAAAAATACTGCACTTATTCAAAGAGCAAGCAGCTTCAGAGATGAGGGACGCAGCTCTGTGGCCATTCTCAACCAAATGAAGCTTGCGAACCCTCCAGCACCTTCCGAGAAAGCCAAGCCTCGCCCGCGCTCTCAGAACCACACTCGCATACACAGCTTTTCTCACCGGCCGAGGCCCTCGGCTCCGAGCGAGCCGGACCGCTAGGTGTCACCCGAGGCCCCGCCCCCGGGGAACAAGAGTTCCGGGTTGTCCGCCGGCTCCGCTCTAGCCACCGAGCTTCCGCCTCTCTCCTGCTCTCCGGGGCTGGGAGCCGGCAGGGGGGCGGGCTTTCCGGCACGCGCGCGAGCAAGGTCAGACGCAGGTAAGGCGCGCGGACGGCGGGGGTCGCCGCAGAGGGCGGCGGCGGTGCTGGGCCACGCAGGTCGCTAGCCCGGTGGGGTTGCCAGGATCCAGACGAGTCCGTCAGGGGCCCGCCCGGACGTCCCACGCGTACCCCACAAACACCCTGGCCTTTCCCTGCGTGCTGTGGGGAATTGAACCAGCCAAGAATGCACTTCCTCTCTCCCTGTTAGCCCGCCCTCAACAGTTTTGTAGGGGAGGTGCAGGCCGTTTTCACTAGTTTTTAAAAATGCAATCAAGATGATAGTCGGGAAAATATGTGACACCGCTGCAGCTTCCATCACCAGAGGAGGGACCGAGTCAGACAGCGGAGAATATGAGTTGTTCACGCCGAACGGAATAAAGTTAGTATCTGTTCAGTGGCGTTCATGCCCTGTGACCCAGTGAAATAATTGGAACCGATTTGTAAATGCTCGTTCTGATTAGGTTGCTTCCCAGTGACAACACGTGTGCATTCCTTGGGTCGTGATTAGACACGCTCCATGCCTTCGGTTTTGCCTTAGTCTCACAATTCAGGGAGACCATATGACTGTCACTTGGTCAGAGTATAGAGGCAGATGAGGACGACTACACCAACATGGCCTTTTCTTTGAAAGCATAGAAAGGATTCTAGCTCCCTTTTCTACATCAAGCGCGGTGCACTCTGCACTCTGTTTTGAGGATCTGAAGAAAGCTTCCTCCCGGGGAAAATACACAATGCACATTTCATACAAGTGATTTACAAAGTGATTGACAGTAGCGTCAATCAACATTAACTCCACCTTCATCTTCACCTTTCAAAAAGAAAAAAGTAAACCTAATCCAAAGCCAGTTACTGAACTAGAATTGATCTTTTTTTTTTAAGATTTATTTATTTATTGATACATGTATCCCTGCCGACCAGAAGAGGGCACCAGATCTCATTTCAGGTGGTTGTCAGCCACCATGTGGTTGCTGGGAATTGAACTTCAGACCTTTGGAAGAGTATACAGTGCTCTTAACCACTGAGCCATCTCTCCAGCCCCCAAAAATTGATCTTTTTAATCGAATGTAGAAGCTGGGGAAATGATTCTGTGGGTAAAGTGTTTACCGTGCAAGTATGGGTACTTGAGTTTGATCCCCAGTACCCACGTTTAAAAAAAAAAAAAAAAAACATTTACTGGGGAGGCTGAGATAGGAGGGTCCCCTGAACCCATTCCTCAGCCAATCCAGCCCAATCCATGAGCTTTATTTAGGTACAATGAAAAAGACCTTGTCTCAGAAAATAAGGTAGAGAGCAATTGGATACCTGATGTTAACCACTGACCTGCACATGTACCTGCAAACACTCTAGAAAAAATATAAATCCACCAGAAAGATAAGAAACTTGCCTTTTTACTCCAAAGAAAAAAGATAAAGGAATTCCGGATTTTAAGACATGGACTTAATGTGTTTTGCTTGATATATTTAAGTAATTTGGTTTTGCTTCTCATTTTCAACAATTATTTTCTCCATAACATTGTATTTTTATTTCATTCACATTTAAAGAAACATAACAATTCAAAGGGACTAATTTGGGGCACTGGAGAGATGGCTCAGCAGTTAATAGTGCATATTACTGTAGCAGAGGACCCAAGTTCCTATGTCAGGTGGCCCACAACCACTTCTGACATGGTTCTAGGGCAGTAGTTCTCAACCTGTGAGTTGTGAGCCCTTGGGGTTCACATATCAGATACTTACATTACAATTCATAGCAGTAGCAAAATTACAGTTATGAAGTAGCAACTAAATTTTATGGTTGGGGGTCACCACAACATGAGGCACTATATTGAAAGGTAGAAGCATTA